TTTGTAAAGAAGTAAGACGAAGATATGCATACCCTTGCGCTTTGTCTGTCAGTGGACCGATGCTCTACCGGCTGCTCGATCACTTCATAGCGAACACCTTGATCCAATACGGCTACATGCTCGAGAGAATCTCGTAAGGTTAAGAGAAAGTTTTTCATTAGTTTGTTTCCAGAGGACTTTCCCAGATTTGGGAAGTAGATTTGAGATCATGTTTCGGAAAGCATGCGGTATCATCTCAAATGGCCATCGCTATTTAGTATCCTTCCCATTTCCGGGTCCTCCTTCCGTAGCACATGGGTAACTGAGCATCACCCTCATGGAACAATGCCTCGTATACGATAGAGGGTACTGTGGCGTGGTATTTGCTGATGTGATGATGATTCTTAACTAACATTCAATATCTGCGATGAATTGGTTATTGCTCATGACACTTCCAATCAATCACATCACATCCAATTCTTGACCTGCAGCATTTTTAACCCACAAAATTCATCTTGCCGAATTTAGAAGTTGTGTAGGCCTTAGTGCTACTAGCAATTAGTACATCCCTTGTGAGTGTCCCCAACTTGAACTTCGTAGTCGTAGTGCAGTGATCTTCTCATCTTCATATATTATCAGATTTTATCATTGTTCATCATCGGTGTTTTCAGAATTCATCAACTTCAGTCATCCACCATCACACACACCCACACTGTGTCAAAACTTGACTCCTAAGGCGAGGGAAGTTACTGATACAGTGACCTTTACTTCCTTATTCGTCTCTCCTCTTATGTCGTCATCTACTGTCACCAAAAATCGCCCTGCTCACCCCTCACTTCATCCATCAGTTCGCGTGAGTTTCATTTTCGACACGGGGAACATTGGTCTATGCCTCAATAACCAGCTCCATCATGAAACATCTACAATCACTTTTAACACTTTAATACCACCTTTCCTAGCGGCCGCATCTCTGTGAAGTAAACGAACTGGGGGTGGGAGTGTTACTGGCGGACCGTCGGTCATCGGTTGAAACAACGCACTTCGTTGAACTCCGGAACCTCCCAATATACTATGGTTCCCAGACGTTAATACCAGTTTAAACCCTCCTTCACCTCGAAATAGATATCATATCAAACTGATTTTTCGGTTTGACAACGGTTGTTCCCACATAAGACGAATGCGCACTCTTCAAAAATACGCCCTCTTTGTACGACTTACTCCTTTACGTATCTCCTATCTGCTAGATTTCCACACACCTACTTGACAAGCGAGGTTATAGGCTCTTCTGTGTTTGATATATGTTTCCAGACTCAGGGTGCTGTAGAAACCATATGGACATGATGCGTAACTCCTGCCGGTGCATAACCGAATAAACCTGAACGCGAGATTACGGTAGTTAAGCATAGTACGCAACCACACATATAAGCCACGATATTTTTTGTACAACATCGACAACTCGTACCAGTTATGAGCTCCACGAACATCTAGTACTACCTGCATTTGTCCACAATTTCCTTGTGCATAAGTGGTCCAGTCATTGTTCACGAATTGGGTAGTTCCATGGAGTCACAGGAGTCCACCTAGATAAAATTTCTTGTTAAAAAAAGTCCTTTGTTAAAGCATAAGGCTGATTTCTTAACAGTCCTTTTGGAAAATTGTGGCTAACCCATGGGATCAATCTGGGATTCTCTTCGGCTGTCGTTATAGTTCATATGGAGGTGGTTCATACGCTACTTTTCAGATGTCTGCAGTCTGGCTCGTCGATGCAGGGAATATGACACTTCGAGCTCGCTGTGGGTGCTGCTCAGCGCTGGGTCAAGATTTGGACGAGTTGTGCGGGTCACCGCACGCATTAAAGACGTTATACTTCACTTCTCAAGGCGTTTTATCAATATTGCTTGTGTTTATTCGGTATTTCTCGAGAGCGGCTATCTTTATTCCCATGGACTTCACTAAATCTTCATAGCATTACTTATCTTTGGTTGCCTAGGCAATGCTTAGCTTTCATACATTTCGTTTTTTCCTTGAATTAGACACGTTAGCTTGGCATAGATGATGAAGTTACAATATTCTCTCCATAACAGGGGCACCCAGGCAGTTTGGTTAGTTCGAACCGCTGAGCCATGTTGGGAAAACGAGTAATGACTTTCTGATCTGTTATTTCACCTAAGGCCCCATTCTCATTTGTTATTCTATTAGAGCGTTTTCGCTGAAGCAGTGACTCATTCCCTTTTTATTTAACGCTTGAGTCATTTTTTATGATAATTTGGCTGAATCAGAATCCTGTTTGATTTTAGTAATGTTTAGGGAATTTCATGATTTTCTAGGGCTGCCTTTTTTGCCGTTATCGTTTACCTATAGCGGCCATGTAATCCGCCAGTGGCGAACTGTGAACGAGCCAGTTTAGCTTATGACCACCTGCCAAACACGGAGAGGTTCTCTGCAGGCATTTTCGAAAGCTGCAAGTTCTGGAATTTTCTCTTGTCGGGTATCTTCCCTGTTGATTCAGACATTTCAAGTCGATAAACTAAATAGAGAGAGCAGGGGTTGCGGTTTACGTTTGAATTTGCCGGCTACTTTTATCTCACACGAGGTAAATGACTTTTCGATGTGGTAAGAAGCTTAAGAATATAGAAGCAGTACGAATTTGTATAGGTATGGACAAATAATTTTTTTTGAAAGGCCTTTGACAGCAACAGTTTTGAGATGAGCTTCGTACCCGATTTTGGTGGGGAGGGGGGGCAACGCGCATCTTTGGGGGATTCACGCCTACGTTGCGTGAGTAGTAAGGTGATTTTTCGAGAAATAATGTTGTTTTCAAAAGAATGTAAGTCAATGTAGTAGACGACAACGAATACACAACGAATACATAATATACTACAACGAAGAAGTTGGATTATTTGAAAACGAATGCGCTCTGCAGGCAGTGTCTCATGCTGTGTATTAGTGAACTATCATTGAGTTCAAGTTGAAAACTGAAGTTCTGATTTTTGAAGAAACCTGGGATTGGTTAACCGACCCCGAAGCGATAGAAGACTTGGTTGACCTGGATAACTATCGTCGGGTATGCGATCCCCCGGACATACATGTGCGAATGTGCGCTTCTTGCCACTACACTACCATCTCCCAAAAACTTCAACTTTTTCCCTTTCTTGCTTTTCCCATTTGAGTATATTGTTTTTGATCAGAATCTATAACTTTATGGCTTTGTTTTCTTAACCACATCATTTTCTTGATTACTGTGCAGCGACAATTCTTTAAACATTGGCGACAACTATTACTCACCCACTACGTGATGCATTTCGCCTGCCTCGATTAGAAACTGCTTAACGTCAAAGTCCAGTGAGTGGAGAGTTGCATGGGTAGGAAGGCTGAGCGCAGCTACAAACAGCTCTGTCTGAGCTTTTGAGAACGGTCGAAGGTCAGCCTAGCTCCGTAGTTCATGTTCGGGAACGGTGTGATGTATTGGCGCCTTAATACATTACCCATTAGCATGACGACATTAACCGAGTAGTTTTACCCAATCGGGGAGCCACAGTCAGCAACGCTGGCGATTTGATTATGCGAGTTACCCGGTACTCAAACGTGAACATTAAGAATGATAACAAAACTTGATATACGTTAATTTGTGCAGTTGCGAAAAACAACAGCGGTCTGGATGGATCAGACAGCATTGGATCTTCGATATTCCTGGAGTGGCGACGGTGGTAGTGTGGTATGAGATGTTTTATATTGAGTGAAAGTATTGTTTTTGAGGGTTGCCCACGTGAATAACAGCGGGATGCCTTCCTCTGCGCCACACTGTTCGGGCAATGGACGGCGCTAAAATAGTCTCCCTCAACGGTTGTGCGTAATTGCAGCATTCGTTACTAACTACAATAAGGAGCTCTCTGGGTGAGGGCTTGTCCCTTCGATTCGTCTGAGACCATCTGCTACTGGTCTTTATACCGTGCGCGAATTAATTATCGACTCTCCTTAATTGGAATGAAGCAAATCATAGACTTTTTGGAGGACGTGCTTGGGCCGAGTGGTAACGATTGCGGAAGTGCTGGTGACGGTGAACGAGCCGTGCTGGTGCCAGGATCAGCCACCATGTATGAGGACTGGCCGACACTCGAGTTTCCAGATTTCACCAAGTCAATACTCGATCTTTTCTCGAAGTAAGAACTTTTTGGTCACCTTGTTTTATTTGTCATTGTCTTATACTTCGTGTTTGCATCATATTATCAAAGCAGAGGAATCATTTATAAAGTAAGGACCATTGTCGCGTAGACTGAAAAAACGATTCTCTGAATCATGCAGTGGCCACAGGACACTGGGTTGGGTCGTTCGAAAATTCATGGCGGCCTTTCTGAATTATGGGGAAAGAGTAGATTACAATTTGACCGAACCATGGAGGCTAAAATGGAAAGCAAAAAGGGGATTTAGGTTTTTTTAAAGTCAACTTAGGTCCCATCCTAAAGCTCAAACATAGGCTTAGAACCTCTGATGTGAATTGCTTATTTGTTATCCTCCCCTATTGGAAAACCTCTCTCTCTCATATCTTGGATTTACAGAAGTTAGCATCGGGAAATGGTCTGGCACTGAAATTGCGGAAAATGTTATCCCCTACATCCAGAACTCAATGCAGTAAAACAGCAACTTTCCTAGGCTCACTTCCGAGGTTACAGAGCTACAGCCTTCATCACATAAAAATTGGGGAGCATTTTATTCTGTCACCTGCTTCCATAGGTCACAGATCGGCCCTCTTCATGCGTTCCTCTAGTGTGTCTCAGAAGGCGTTTTTTCTGTGCAAGAAGCAATCGTATTTGGCTCTTGTAATCAAAGATCTCAAATAGGCACTGCGCCGGAAGCTAACTGACTTTTTTCGTAAGCATATGGCATACCCATTGCTGATATGCTCATTAAGTGGGATTTGTGGGTTACCATCTTGCCTACTTTTGCTTGCTTAGGTCACCAGTGAACGCTGCCAGTTTTTAGATATCGAACCTGATTTCTGACTCCTTTGCTTACTTGTTTTTCTACCAGGACAACAAGTGAGTCGGTGTCGTCTGCACTTTTATCTGAACTTATAAGTTCTATTAACGAAGAAGATGGTCAGACATCAATCAGGCTTCAAACGGACGATCAGCTGAGATGGTGCATGCAGGTATGGTTTATTTTTTTCTTGTAATTGAGTCGTTGCGCGGACATTATACTTCTAACCTAAACATATGTTTCGAGTTGAAAGTAATTCCTTTAATTTTTTCAATATCAGTTGCCATCACGGGTTTTCTTGGTATTGGTGTAAGGGACAACTATACTAACATCTTGCATAAGCGAGCGTTTTGTTCTTTTTACTTCTCTTTGCGACAAATGTCTTTTCTATGGAAAAAGGAAAAATCAATGCAACGCCAACACTAGAATGGTTTAAAGTGATCTAAATTGAGTCACAGATATCGGGAGTGATTGAAATTTATACAGTAGCCGCCATGAGATTCATTCGAATTTTTCCATTCTTGTAGTATAGATCGGTTCAACGCTAAGTTTCTCCTTCAAAGTTGGATATACCATGGAGCCAAGCTTAATGAGCTTCACAAGGTGACATTCCAAAATTTGGAATACTTGATTGCATGACATACTTTCAAGTTTGAATGGATATTTTGTCCCAGTCTGAAAAATGGCAGCGCAATCGATGCATGAATGTCGGGCTAAGCTGATGTTCTGCGCGAATTCCGTGGTCCTGTGAAACGTTTCCTTCCCTTAACAAACTACATAATAGCAATGGGCAATGTTCAATTTCCCAGAACAAGTTAATAATAAAGAAATTGCCCTGAAGAAGGAATATTGATTCATTTTCGTTTTCAGCTTAATGTTATTCATGAACCCTTTCAATTCTTGAGGTATGTGCAGGGTATGATGCGGTAGGTGTACGCTTAGGAGGAATTGACTTTCGCTCTGGCGGTGATCGGTACCGTGAATCCATGAGAACCATTAACCAGAAATCTATCATTATGCGAACCTCTTAGCTGCTCTCTTTTTCGACTTATATTATACTTATTATTTTGAGTGCTGAGTAGTATTTTTTGTCTGTGTAGCTCAGTGATGAAAACTTATCTTTCCATTTGCTTCAAATATCTTCGAGTGAATTTCCTCTACTTTGGGTGGTAGGGTCATCCAGTTCTTTGTTGTTCAGGTATTGAATTATTCCCTCACGCTTTCGTTTTCTTCTCACCGCGACTTCGAGACTGTTCGTGGCGCAGTGCGCATTTATCTTCACTGGTTGCGAGCTCTGACTGATTTTCCAGACGGCAATATCCCTACTCCGTTACTGGACACGCCTGAGAAGTATTTTAGGTGAGCCATTTTGCACTTGTTAGTTACTACAACGCTAAGTCTCTTCAAGAACAACAATCGTGAGCCTTTTTTCATCTCGAATGCCGCTTGCACTTTCTTATAAACTAAAGGGTATGTAGGTACAATTACTGGTGCTGTCGTAATAAGCTCAATCGCAACAGCGTCATACCAATAAGAAACAGCGTTCTAATTGGGTTTGCAGGAGTATAATTGATGCGCTGCGTCATCTGTTCTGTCGTCGAAGTGAAATCAAGGGAGAGGTTGGTTGCTAAGTACGATTAGACTTTTTTGAATTTCGCCCCATTTATGGGATTGATGTAGCTCCCTCATTTTGTATAGGCTCAAAGATTCTATTTTCACCCGTGCATCAAATTTATGTGTATATACTCAATATCTTAAGAATTGATATTATAAAAGGCTGATGTCTAGGTCCCACGTGGTCTAGCAATCGAACGACAAGCTCGTGAGGTTGAAACTGTGTTAGATGCCGTGCGTGATCTGACACACACAGCACGAAGAAAGTACCAAAATGAGGTCAGTAACTTGATTCAATTCAGTTTTTTGGCTTTGTTGGTGGTCAATTATTGTTTATTTGAGAACAGTTGCACTGCTACTACTTAAGCTGAACACTTACATTTTAATGCCTTTGGAAAGATCATTTCCATCTGCTCGAATTTCAGGTATGGGCTCGTATACTTAGCTTTCTACTTAACTCGGCTGATCTTCTTCTTGCAGATCCACTGTTTCCTGGTTTGCTTTTTAGTTTTTGGAAAAACAAATTGAAGAAAAAGTGAAAAACTTAAAAGTTTGGCACTCTAAGAAAATAAATTAGGTTGTCAGATAAGTGTGTGTGTTTTTTGTCTCGTACACGTTGCCTCTCGTACACGCGTATTACAACTTCTGAAAGAGCGAGGTAGTTTTAGGTGGCGTTCCTCACGGGAATCAAGCTTCATCCTGATCAGTACGCACCTGGGCCTTATCGTGCACTCCACCCATTCATAGTAGGTCGAAAGATCAAACTTGTCTTAAATGGCAAAGGCATCAAGTCAGACTTCGGCTGGGTTTCGCTAGTGTATAGCCTATTACGATAATAGAAGTGAAATGCGAGAGCACATTCTAGATCAGGATTCTTTGGTCCTTTGAATGTAGTGGTTGTAGGCATTCGACAAGCATTTTTTCCAGGATTTCGCTGATTATTTTTCATAACCTTTAAATTCAACCTCCAAGAGCTGATGAACAAGGCAGCTAAGAGGAGGTCATTTATCACTTACTCACTTGCATTGGTCTTATCGTTAATTTATACATTGAGTCACGTGACCTCTGACGGCTTAGATTCTCGGCTTGCCGCAGTATCACCGTTTAAGGGAACTAGAAGGCAAAAGGCTGTTTTCGAAGACTTCGAAAAAAAAAGCTGTTTCTTAATGAGAGGGGCGTTACTGTCTTCGTGACTCTTGCCTTCTATGTCCCTTATACGGCAATATCGCGGCTTGCTGGATATTGCAATATTTGCATAATAATGGGTGATTGTCACTACTTATCCCGCTATGGTGTTCAAGAAGGTCAAGGAATGCAAATTGACGACCAACCCCGAACATGGACCCAAGATTTCCTTGATTGAAAGCCAGTTTTCTTTGGCACCACTCATGATCAGCATCTGAGCTCCAGTTTTCACATAACGTAATTACAAACATTTCTGCGCTACATGGATTGTTGCTCTGTCAATTTGGTGCGAGAATCACCACGTACAAGCTGAGTCGGATACGGCTTGAAAACTTGATTACTATGGAAGACGAGTGTTTGATGTATGCAAATCATGCCCGGAGCGCCGACGGCTTTTCCTGGTGATCAAGAAAACCATGGGCCACAACTGACTCCAAGAAGGTAATGCTGATACAATTATTCAGTGTTGAGTCTATGGTGGGTATGTTCCCGAGTAATCCATTAGCTTTGATTTGATCAAATAGTCTTTCGTTATCTTTATCAGCCCGTATCAAGTGATATAGGTAATTGTCGCCAACCATCTGAGCTTCCGCTGTATCTCACATCACCCTTCAAGGATTTCCTGTTAACATGAAGAGCGGAACAGATGTAGCCTCTGATCGACCCTTATCAATTGGTGTCACATCCTATCATCATGCAGCTGAAATCTTGTTGCTTCCCACATCTCCAACCAAGGGTTATAATTTGCTGTTAACGAGAAGAGCTTTACCGATTCAGTGACTCCTGTCTTCTTTGCCACTTATAAGCCCTTATCAAATGCTATCGTATCCTACGGCCAAGCGTGTACAATCTTGCTGCATCTACATCTCATACTATAATTTCAAAGCTCCATTGTGAGGCGCCTTTGTTGCATTGGCTTTCCTTTTCAAGGTCTGTTAAGAACCCTTATTGGTTGTTATCACACTGTGCCATCCACCATTAGTATCGCCTGTATCCCTTCCAAATCAACAGTACAATATCAGAACGTATTCATAGTATTTTAGTGAAGGAAGAGAAGCGCTGCCTGAGGCCGATGCTTGGCTTGTGGTAAGTTAGTGAAGTACAAAGGAACCGCGCACTCATCTGGCAACTTAATCAAAATGTTTTGTACTATCGAATACCTCTTGACTAGGTCTTTAATGTATGTTTGTTAAGAGGAAATGGGAATGCGTGTTGGATCAAGAGTTGTCGATACGCTTTTTGACCTTTGGTTCCATGCAGTGCTTAACGAAGAGATTCCTTCACCTACATATTGGCGAACGCTGGCGGCGTTGTGTCGGCGATGGCGTCATCATGTGAGTAACAATGGATTTTCCCTAGGATTCCCTTTGATAGAAAATAATGGGTAAACAAAGTCTGTGCTCAGGTAACCGTCGTAGAGTCTTGGGCACGCAAGCTGTTGGCAATGACAGTCTTGGTATGCCGAAGAATGTATGGCGACGACTATTGTAAAATTGCAATCCGTGAGTATTCTCGTAAATTCAGAACAATGCTGCGGACTAAATGTTTTTTTCCTGTGAACTAGTGATCAATCCATATACTTCCTTTTGACATGCATCCTAATACTGCTCTCATAACGGGGGTACTTCTAGACGACGAAAGTATCACTCCGTTTGCCTTCTTGCCACCCGTTGAAGAAGATGGTGAAGTTGATTTACTCTACCACAGTTGGTAAGTGTCACTGTTTTCATGTGCTTTCAAAAAGAAATTTTACTACCCCAACCTGCCACTCTCACCAAACTGCATTTGGTAACCAGCTTGCATAGAAATGTTCTTTTATCTGTGATGGAAAGTGGGTTTTAATGTGCAGTTTTTGATTGAGCATTGAGAAAATGCATAATGCCGGCGTAATTTGGTATTCATGCACAAATTCGCTATGTAAATATTAATGACTTATTAAAAGAAGCTAGATGGTACGCGAATAAAACGTTGGAACGTTTAAATTCGTTCTATGCATCTCAGTGAAAGAAATCGCTGCAAATAAAGGGCATTTCTGGACACAATTTATATTTGAGAAGATTATAAGGCCTGGCACACGCCAAACACAAGTTTGCGTTTTTTTTTTCATTCGAGCTTTTAATTAGTGGGTTAAAACATTAAACTCATGGTCAGCTCATTCAGTTTAACTATATGATGTTCACAAAAATTGGATATGCAGGCATACGTTCCGTTTGAAAGGGTACTTCGCCTAATTCTAAAAAATAACGTTTGAATAGATAAACGATACTGCTATTCAGTCACATAGCCGACATTACATTCTAAATATACAAACTGTATGCAATTAGTTTGTAGGATTCCCATTTATAATTGTTTTGCCGCAACATAAAAGCTCAACTTCAGTAAAATTAGGTGCAACGAGGGGAAAGTAAATAGTAGACGTAAATACTGCCTGAGCAAATCGCAAATAATTTGAGGTTCAATTTATTTTGCCTGCTGGATTCACCGGTGGACATCCTCTCACACGATCTCATGCAGAACAAGCCAATCAGTGAGTTAGGCCTGTTTTGAATTTTGAAGTTGGTTTAATTTTGAATTGCATGAGCACGTGATCAATGTCTCATCTTCAGATGGAGGTGTTTCAAGCTTTGACGAGACTGTAGAGGTTCAGGCACCAATTTCGCTACCTCTATGCTTTTTTCTAGCAGCTACAGCATTGCAGAGAATGGTTGATGTGTTTTATGGTAAAATATCATTGATTATTTATTATCGTTCATCTTCTCAGAGCAATAACTTTTAAAGGGACAGCGACCATCCTTCATTTTAGGTGACAGTTTTGTACCTATCGATTTCAAAGAATCTGATATTCTTGTTCAAAAATGGACTATGGCAACGCCAAACCCATCTCTTGCTTCAGAAGTAATTGGTAGTCGCCCTCGCAGTGACTTTAGCGTGAGTTTAAATCAGTGCATTCGCCTTATATTTGATACCATTACGACTTTGTGATAATTCGTTTAAGCGCGAAAAGGCAAGTACAGTGACGGACTCAACAGGGGCGTCCCGCGATACTCGAGATACTGACGGAACCTTAACACATGACATGCGCAGTTCATTTTCTTCTTCGTCGAGCGCCAAAGAGGGCCGTAGTATGTCGGATATGACGAAACGTTCCGTTCGAACGAAGCATTCAGGTACAGTTTATGTTGCATGCCTCCATCCACTTGTCTAGGAGTTTTGTATGTGAAGTGCCATTCTCTTCAAATTTGTATATTTCGACGACCAAATGGACTTGGGTGTGCTTCGTTTACATTCACCTCTCGTTGTGATTCTCTCAATGGAACTCTATTTCCAAAACCATCTTGATTGATGCTGTAGAAGGCACGAAGATTTCCATTTTTTGAAAAAAAATAGAGTCGAATTGCTCTTAGCTGTGATTCAAGTTTTCTCATCATGTGTTGTCTGGCCATGACCTTTTGCCTTCATCTTTGACTTCATCGTAATTTGTATGAAAAGTTTCGACGCCTTTCAGAGAGCGTAATTGACGATCATAGTGGAGCAAATATGAGTTCGTCGCAGCACTCCCAACATTCACAACATCTCAGTTCAACAAGCGCAAGTCGCCATACTAATGAACAGGTGAGTTGAGTAAAGCTAACCGTTTTTTGTTTTATCACTAACTCGGAAGTTTTGATCAGAACTTATTTTATTCACATTTCTATCTATGTATATCAATGTTTAAAGACTATAACATGTCAGCCCAGAGTAGAGACTCCAATGACTACCCATCAAGTATCCAGATTGAATCTTACCTTTTTGTATCGTGATGGGGTAGGTCGAGTTTACTTCGTAGCGGAAGCTGGTTTCTTCTATATATGAGAGTAGATTATTGTGAAAGGTGGTTCTTGGTACGGTATTTGTAATCCTGACAGTGCCTTATGACAAGTCATATTGGTGTCCATTATTAGTAATTACATAGGTTTCAAACTTCTGAAGCAATAGCTATCTTTTTCAAAATGGCTTCCAAAGATTGTCGGAATTGCTTTAAGATCTCTCCTAAAACTGCCGAGAGTGTGAGCCAAGGACGTGTTACGGATGCGAAACAGTCACTAATGTCGGCAGATAGTTCTTTACGTCCTCTTGCTCTGCAATTTGTAGTTCATACACTTGCAGGTTGGTTATAGTGTTTATGGTGAAATTCTCTCCTCTGGTCTTAACGTCTTACGAATAGCGATATGCTCTAACATGCGCGTTTATCAATGTTTTAGTCATCTCTTACTTTTTTATCAGTTTTGAAATTGCCAAGTTCCCTCGGATGGTTGTACGAATTCTAAAGTTTCGAAATTTGGATTTTCGATTTTATAGATTGTCTTGGATGACGAAAATTTTGACCGATTTCTCGGCTAAACCTTCCCTTATTTAAGTGGTGATTGATTTCTCCGTTTGGAGTGGTTGAGTTTTAGTGTCATGAACACCGTCATGGCTACACTAGCTTCTGTGACCTCGATTTATGAACGTTTTCTCTGTATTGGTTGCAAGCCTCTACAGTGGTCCTTATACTTCTGTCTATTGCCGTCAGAAAAAGAGTTTGGTATGGTAAAAGCCGGGAAAAAGAAAAAAAGAAAAACTTTGAATGGAAAATCAAAGCAGATCGAGATAATTCCATGTAAAAAAAACGTTACCTCGAAAAAACGAAATGTTTGCCAGTGCACAATGTAAGAGACCTTCGTTGTTTACACTGCTGTATCATAATAATTGAAATAAAGTCGGAGACGAACATTTTCGTGAATATCTGTATGAAAGAAATTTTTCTTGTAAATTTATACGTTCATTGCAGTGAACCCAGCCTATACACCATGGGTGGATGAGAAAGGGCCGAAAGCTGAACGCATTCTAGACCTAACCATGGAGTGGCTGTTAGCGGCGGCGCGTGCGAAGTCGGAGCACAAAGCGAAGGCGGAGGTGACTGATGGTAAGTGCTGGGTGCATTTCTGTAGTTCTCATGATTTCATACAGCATCCCACAAAAAGATAGTGCAAGATGATCGTCATGTTCGACTCTTGGCAAACCTCGATTTTGTTGCATAGTGCTCCTGAAAACTGATGCTTCTGAGGTTGATCATAGTCCTTATAACGAATGATTTTTGGCGGTTTGCTTTTTTTTTTGAAAGCCTGGATAGGAGGTTGGCTCGATGAGCAATACAGTCTCGGGATGGATCCATTTCTGTTTGAGAACGAGCTTCATTTCATCCTCATATACTCGTTCTGATTGTTGCCATGCCACTTCAATCATTTCTAGCGTCCCTATTTTTATCATTGAAGTGTCAGCTAGCTTTCCCTTACTCTACTGTGCCTTTCGACTAGGACTCCATGCCTGCGGTCCCGCAATTCATTCGTGAAATCTGCCCTTTACCAGTTGTGCTCATTACGCAATCGTCCGCGAGATCTCGCACTCTATTTCGGCTTGCTTTGTAAAAGATTATTCTAGACATATTTGATGTATACTGGGACGTTAGTCCTTGAGGTATCTCCGTCTCGATCGCTACACTGATTCCGTGTTGGTATTCACTGCATGTTTTTGGCCCTCCTCGCAAAACAGTTAATTTCTAGACGGTACAGATCGATAGTCTGAGATTCTACATTCTGAACCTGGTGATGAAATCTATACACTTTTCAGACCCAGCATTGAAAACTTGTTCTGAATGACAGCAGACCTAGAAGGGCGTACGCCCACTGTCAGCATCGACCCACCTTACCTACCCCGTGACGTTTTTCGCTCTGCAGTTTTTTGGAAAGATACATGGGCTTCGGAGTAAGAATCTGTAATTTGTAGCATACCCGGCTCACCACGCTTAATGCTAGTCCCTTCACGCTACGCAATATTACTGGAAGATCTCTTGTCTAACTTGATTTACTTTTTCTGATACAATAGTTTACAACAGTTTACTACTGTTTGGATGAGTCTCGGAGCTTTTTACTTTCATTTTTGCAAGTAACAAATAGGTTCCTCAGAATTTTAAACCATCCTTCTCTTTTTTCGCAGACTGGGGTCTTTTGGACTCATGGCTACGCTAAATTTTCGTGGCAGTTTTTGAACTCAATTGCAATTTTTACCTTGACCTCACTCGTCTATGGGCACGCTTCAAACATCATATATTGCTGACTTTATTGAAGCCTTGCTACTTCATCTTGGGTTTGACCGTTCTCACTTTCCAACTGGTAGGCTGTTTGGGGTTGAGGTATTACCTGAACTGAGTTTTCCTCAGAATATTGCCTATTGAGAGAAGCTGATGCAAGTATCTCATCAACCAGAGTGATTATTTTCAAATGAATCCTGTAGTGTCAAGTGTTGGCTACACTTATCGAAGTACAGTGTAGTTTTGGTTACTGCATGGTTGAGAGACATTGGGAATGTATGATGTGAACTTTGGTAGGAAACACGAACGCACAATTTGCCCAGGCAGTTAGTTGTTCGAGTAACCTCATAATGCTATGACTAAGAATATTGTGCCGTTTGTCTTTCCATGGTCGTTTTGTTTGCTGTCATGCTCAACGGGAGAGCGTAATTGTGGAGTCTAAGAGCTCGTCCCTGCTCAGCGAAAGGTTTCCAGCTGAAATCGATCAATTGCAAAAATGATGTAAGTTCCATTCAAAAGGAAAACAGCTTTATGCACCGCAAGGAAAATTTATTCAGTGCGTTCTTGCCAAACAGCTTTTTCTCTTAATCCCCTTGAAGATCCAATCTTTGTTGCAAGATTAGGCTGGTTTTTCTGGTTTTGTTCTGCACTTCATAGATTTCCCATTTTCCCTTTTTTTAGAACAAACTATGTACTACTGCTGATGTATTACATCTTTTACTCATATGGCGCATCAAACAGAGTTCATAAATTCGTAATATGTGTTTTGCTGTTTCACGATTACTGGAATAGCGCATCTGCGCACCGGACAAGGACCAATTTGAACAGCATAGGCGAGAGTTGCTCTTAAATTCACCATACGTAGCTGTTCTATTGTCGTCCGACTCCCTTGTTTTCATATTATTGGAAACTCCTGAAGAAAAGGAGTTCTGCAGGCATCCACCAACTTTCGTCGGAAATTGAATGCTTGGCCTGAGCCGAAGGCTGACGAATTCAACGAACGCGTCGTTTTGTTACCCAATAAGAAGCAGAAATGTCATCATTCATGATGCATACTTCGATCAGTGTTTCTGAATAGTTAGTTTTACCCAAGTAAAATATTTTTCTTCTCACCCAGTACCATAGTCCAATTATGAAGAAAGAGACAAACGGCTTCCGTAATGCCAGATTCTTGACGTAAGCAAAGATATCCCGCCTCGGAACGTGAAGCGATAGCTAGAAGCTGGCAATGGTGTGTTTCAATACTGTCAATTGTCCTCTTCTATGTATTCAGTATGTACGCGGACTATTGGCTGGGGTCATATTTGTCCCGCGTCATCCACGTATCACTACGTCGGTCGCTCGTTTTTGTTTGGCTCTGTCAGTGTGGGTGGGTTCGGTTGGACTGGTCGATCGTTGGAGCGTTTCCTTCCTGTTATTCCTCGGAAAATCCCGCATCAACGCATATCTGATCCCTCACAGAGTCGCTCCTGTTTTGTGATGTGAGTTCTTTCATTTCTGATGAACTTCTGTACGTTATTGGAGAAGTGGTGATGAAGTTCGGCGAAAAATTTCGAATTGACGTTTGAAGAGTTCATTCATATAGCAGATGGAAGAGTAGATGGAAGAGGGTCAGTCACTGCTTAACCATTGATATTGGCAGTGTATCTCTTAGAAAGTGTCAATTCATGCTTCCTGTGTTTGCTCTCCTTCCATCGAGCCTTCTGGACCCGCACGACGTATTTACGTGAGAACACCCTTTTAAAGCGTTTTGCTGACGATGGTTAAAAGGTGGGCTGAGAAAAGCACAAAACCATCTCATGGAGCACCTTCTTTTGTCTTTAAGTTTTATCTTTAGTTATTTAGATCACTTTATGAACTTGTGAGCAAAAATTAGGGGACGTAATAGTTCCCGACTGGAATATGCTTTTAATGGAATGACAAGAATGTTAGGAATTGATTGCAACGGGGCCAGAGGAGCTTCTAGCTTCTGCTTTAAATATATGTAAATTTCGATGAACTTCTGCGTAATCGTCCCGGGGTGAATTACCTTTTACCGAGGGTTGAGTTATGAAATCCAACGATTATATCTATCTAACTTCTTGGGGCTAAGGGACTCACGATTTGTCATTTCTGCTTTTCGAATCTGGTAAAGAATTTCTTGTAACCTGTATCGCTGCGCTAGTTTAGCAGCTGACACACAAATCCACTTTTCCATTTATAGTTTGTACTCTTTTCTCCCACTATCCCACTAGCACCTTTTTGTTTGCTCAAGATTTTCTTCAATTTCTTCCTGATTCCTCAGATTGATTTTGATTTGGTATCGTTTTATGTTGCTCCGATCCATTAGGTGGAATGGTTAGGGGTATGTATGTCAAGGCTAGCAAGGCCTAAAATTTCAAAAGTCCCGAAACCTCTTCACCCGAAAACTAACAGGCGAGGGAACTGTGATCGGGGTGTCGTTGAACGCGGCGGCGCATGAGTCTTCATTTCATGGTAATCCGCATTATGTAGCGCCATCTAGTGGTGAATAACTCTATTGTGCGTGTGTCTGTTTGGGGCAGACGGTTCTATTGTCGACGCATCGATTTTATGGGCGTTTCGATGTGATTACGAACAGGTGAGCATGTGGGTTTTGTACGTACTGAAATTTGAATTCAACATCACTGTACTTGGTAGTGAAGTTTGGTGTTTGCACAGTGCCAGCGCGGCAGACGCATCTGTAGAATAAACGATTAGGACATGGGTGGCCTCTTGCGGCAGCCCATTTTTTCTGAAGGAGGATTCCAGACTGGTTCTGGCATTGGTGACCTTAGGTCCCGGCAGTATGTGACCTACGAGGGCCTGTTTTCTGCCTCCATAAGCTCAGTGTTTACCATGCAGATGTTATATTCGACATGCGTTTTGCTAGTGATGGATTTAAACGGCTTCCCTTCTCCTTACCACTCAGTGCGGAACGCTTCTATCTCTCATTGAGGTTCCCCGACATTCGGTACGGACTGCTGGTGCCTGTTCGACTTTTTCCGATTTATTCGATTTGACTTTTTTTAAGAAATCCATGAGTGCTAAAGTCGCAGTTCACAATAAAAATGGTTTCTGAGAAACACCTCTGATAAATATGTGATGTCCTCTATACGATATGTAGCTCTGTCAGATCGATGAACTGCCTAGACAGGGCGTTATAAGGGCTCAAAGGTTGGTCGGCTGAATGCCACGCCCAAAGCGGACGAGTTCCAACCGTATTGTAGCAGCTGCACCTCTAATAGCCCATGTACACCCATGTATAAACTTCAAACAACTTGTCGTAACCCTTGACGACAGCGAAAGGCAGTTTTGGACATCCTCGTTTGATGTAGCCATCGAAATCTTGTCCAGATAAACCCTATGCCATTCTCGTTATGGTGATCTCGCACAACCTCTATCTCCATTATATTTAGAAAGCCTTTTTTTTGCAAAGTCGACACATTTTTTCGCTATCTTCGTCACTGATGCACTATTCTCCACCAACACTTCCGCTTTTCGTACTTAAAAAGGGTACTTCAAAATCATTGTGAACCGTGCCGAAAGAGTATTATAGAAATTTTTCAAAATTTGCGTAATTATCATGAGTCCGATTGAGAGTAGAGACATTTTGAAATCGTCCTCCGCTTGTCGCGGACACAGGCGTTGAAGGCATGATCGCAATCCTGGTGCGTGATGGTAACCAGCATTGTCTACTGATGTCCGATATTAATATATTCATGCCATACATTCCACACACTAATTGGAATAGAAAGATAAAATTGAAAGACCTATAATCTGACTTTATTCGACTAAGATATGACGTAGAGGGGAAAATATGATGCAAGTGAAATGAAATTATTGCTTTTCATAGTTGAAGAAGAGCAACGATATCAACAAGAAATCCCGATCGAACAAACCATCTGGTATACCACTTCTTCCAACGAGTTCAACTTTGAAGCAAGTCAGCGTTTGTTCATCGTAGAATATAGAAATAGAGCCACACCTAGAAGAACGGGAAGTAGTGGAGCGCCCCGTCGCACTTGCACTGTTTCCAGGGTAGGGTCCTCATGAGATCGATCGTTTTATGATGATAGTTAATCTCGAAAACCTATGCCATAGACAGACCTTTCGAAAGATGTATCTCTCCACG